TGCTGGATCACGGATGACGGTGTGCTTCTTCCAGGTGGTCTTAGTGGGCATCTCACTTAGATGGCTGCTTGTTTGGAAACAAGCCTTTAAGACCCCAGAGCTGTTCTCTCTGAAGCCTGGCACCATCTAGTTTCTTCACCATACTTAGCTATAGCACCCATTTCTTCTGGTTCCTACATGAGGGCGAGGATTGGGCGGGGCCATGTCATAAGCACTAATTGTTCATAGGTTGGAGCTAGGATTTAGTGAAAGCCCTCAGTCCATTCCTGGTTCTATGATTTTTATCTGCCTCTGGCTCCCCTTAGAGATCTCCTTGTGAACTTATGGTAGAAAATCTTATTGCTCATCTCCCTGGCGCATAAGGACCTTCTGTTAATAGTGACGTTGGTTGCCCCATGGTACTAATTTTTAAAACACTGTTGAGAGGGGAATTTTGGACTAGTGTAGGCTAACTACATATCGCAATACCTGAACTATTCACTGATACAAAATAAATCCATATGTTACTGGACACTATCTACACAAACAACGGGAGTTGGTTGTCAGGCATAACTTACAATAATATTACTGATAATGTCAGTCACAGGTCTGCCAGAGTATTACATGTCTTCACTCAGCAAGTAGGGCGTTGAAGTAGTACATCCATGTTTGTCCGCCTACCAACAGTCCGAGACTCTTCTGATTCTTCACACACCATGTAATTGCAGGCTTAAGTCCTCAGGTTCCAGATGGGTTTGAGGTAGAGTCTGGTTCACCGGGAAGAGTTTCCACATTGGATCCCTCTGGAGCGTGTTATGTGTCTGGATCATCCAGGAGTCAGTGCCCCAGTGTTCCATGGAACTTGGCCCGGGTCCCTGGGGCTGTACAGAAACACAGGCCAAGGTGGCTTATTAGTTGTGTGTTAACCACCACCCCGCCTCCCTAGGGTCGGCCGTCTCCACATTTGTCCACTTAGCTCAGTTCTGTAAAGGCCGGAATTGCGAGGTGGCTTCCTTCTCCCTCAGGACGCTCCCAGCACTTCCTGGGCCCTTGGTGTGGGAGTAAAATTCACCTGCCCGGGGTATGCAGACTGGGAATCCCTGCATCTCCCCTCTGGGCGGACCATGCACAGGTCTGGTCCTTCCTTCCCCAGCTCCTGCTGCAGTAGGTGGTCAGCAAAGGCAGGCCTTTAACCCGCGCCCGCTGAATCAATGGAGAAGATGGGTGGGTGTGTCTGCCTCAGCCTGAGTGTGTATCTGTGGTCACAGCCCAGGCACAACAAAAACACGTGGGAATTTGCCATCAG